CCAATCTTTAAATAATTAAAGTCAAAAAGGTCTTGCAAACTAACAGTAAGTCTTAATAAGGGGAAACTAAATGCAAAGTATATGACAACTCTGTACTATCTTCTCAGTTCTTTTGTAAATCTAAAACTGTTCTAAAAATTTAAAAAAAAACTATCATTTAAAAAAAGTTGTGCAAATAATATGCACTTATATGGATCAATTATAAGGAAAATAACAGAGTTAATACTGAAAGTATTTAACAACTGAAATTGTATAAGGTACCAAGCCATCAGAATGATTGCTGATGATATAGCCAGCTGTGCAGGTGTGTAGCAGCTGACTATCAGTCCTGGAAAAAAGCAGACTGCAAAGCGGGGGTTTCCACTTGTGCAAAAAGTAGGGACAGGAAGGGTGTGTGTGTGTGTGTGTGTGTGTGTGTGTGTGTGTGTGTGTTTATATTTGTACATGCACAGCTTAGAAATATATATAAGAAACTGAGCACAGTAGATGCCTCGGGTGAGAAACTGGGTAAATTCACCATGTAATTTATTGTTTAAAGCAAGTTAGTTTTGAGAGTAAATGTGAAACTTATAAATAGCTATTTCAGAACAATAGGCATAAACTTATCCTATACAGGTAGGTCAGGGTATATGATACCCCTAGAACTAGAGGAATAGGGCTTAGAGTTTCAAGGCTTAGAGTTGACTGACTTTTCACTCTATCATACAATGATACATTGCTCCTATACTCTTCTCAACATTTTTTTTAAGATTTATTTGTTTGAGAGAGAGAGAGCACGTATATGCTAGAGAGGGGCGGGAGAGGGGGAGAGGGAGAAAAAGAATCTCAAGCAGACTCCTCATCAAGCCCACAGCACAGGGCTCGATCCCTCGACCCTGAGATCAGAACCTGAGCCAAAACCAAGAGTCGAACACTTCCATGACTGAGCCACCTAGGAGCCCCCCACCTTTTCATTAACTTTTTTAAAAGTAAAAAGAACCCTGGAAAATGGAATGGGTATTCAATCGACAATGAAATCAGGATGGGAGAATGTAAAAAAAAAAAAAAAAAAAAGATCATTTTTACCTTTCTATTGTTATCATCATGGAAGATATCTAGCTATCATTGTTGAGATTAAGGATAAGCCTTAAATGTTAAATGTTAAAAATGTTATCCAATAAACTTGTAACAATGCTAATGATGAAACAACTTCTAAAGCTAAGCAGTCAGAATAAGTGACTACCTAGTTGTAGAGTTTGATCTATTGATCTGCCAGACATATCAGTGTAAGCTCAGGGGCTGTTCGCCTTTCTTCAAAGTGTCCTACGTAAGAACATATGACTATTTCCTTTTTTTTTCTTTTTCTTTTTTTAAGGTTTTCTTTATTTATTCATGAGAGACACAGAGAGAGGCAGAGACATAGGCGGAGCAAGAAGCAGGCTCCGTGCAGGGAGCCCGATGTGAGACTTGATCCTAGAATCCTGGGATCATGCCCTGAGCCAAAGGCAGACGCTCAACCACTGAGCCACCCAGGCGTTCCCATATGACTATTTCTTTCCCTACTTTTCAACATTCAGTGAAGAGTTTCAAAGTGTGAGTAAACTCAAACATAGTAACTCCATTTTGTTATCCAGCAGTATGTTTGCCTCAGTCACCCTGATTTAAAATTAGAACATAGGGGCACTTAGGTAGCTCAGTGGTTGAGTGTCTGCCTTCAGCTCAGATTGTGATCCTGGGATCCTGGGATTGAGTTCTGCTTCTCCCTCTACCTATGTCTCTGCTTCTCTCTCTGATTCTCATGAATAAATAAATAAAATCTTTAAAAAATAAAATTAGAACATAATGTAGCATAATGTATAAACTTGTCAAATCACTATGTTGTGCACCAAAAACTAATGTAACATTGAATGTCAACTATACTCAAATTTAAAAATTCAAAAACAAATAAGTAAGTAAATAAATAAATAAAATTAGAACATAACACTAACGGTTATAACTTCAGAATTTGGTCACCTGGAGAAAGTGATGTTATATGAATAGTGGATTAGAAAAAAATGATGTTGGCAGACAATCTTTTGAAGTGTGATACATGTACTTCTTGACCTAACAATTTTACATGCCTTAACCCATTTAATCCTGTTTTAAGAACAAAATGCTGTAGAAAAAATAAATACTGTTATTATTCTCATTTTACAGATGAAGAAAGCTGAATCTTAGAGAGAGAGATTAAGAAACTTACTAGGTCACTGGCCAGTAAATGGCAAACTCAAGATTTGAACCCAAGTCAATAATTGTAGAGCCTGGGTTATTGACCATGATGCTGCCCTGCCTTTTGGGTCTGGGTAGGCAACTAAAAGACAGTTCCAATTTCAAATTCACCATTTCCATATTTTCTCAACTAAAACCAGGATGTGGAGTTTGACAGTGGGTTAATGTGTTTTCGTGGGTTTTCCCCGATGAAATCCAAGACAAGAAGTTGCTGTAGCTAAGTAGGATATTGCTTTAAACTTTTGGTTGCTGTTTCCTCTCCAGAGCAGTGAGAGAGGGGAGCCAGATGATTTCTAAGTTTCCTTGCTATATAAAAATAGGACGCCCCTTTCCATCATGAGCACTCTTTAGAGTGCCTTACAGATAATAGCCTCATCGTCCTAACAGCCCCATGAGATAGCATTATGATTCCTATGCTAGAGATGAGCAAACCAAGGCCCAGAGAATTTGTACCCTGCCCTAGGGTAAACAGCTAGTAAGATTCAAACCCACGCAGTCTGCTTCCCCAGTTCATGCTATTACCCACTCTGCAATGTAGCCTCTGGTTCGAAATCTAGAATAAATTATAGATCTAGAATGTAAATTGCAAAATATAGAATAAGTCTAGAATAAAAGAGTTCTTCCCTGGAGACAGACTGTGTTACATGTGGGGAGCAAATTTTTTTTTAGATTTATCTATCATCTATCTATCTATCATCTATCTATCTATCTATCTATCTATCTATCTATCTATCTATGAGGGGGTGGGGAATGTGAGCACAAGCAGAGAAGCAGCAGAGGGAGAGAGAGAAGCAGACTTCCCACTGAGCAGGGAGCCCAACTTGGGGCTCTATCCCAGGACCCTGAGATCACGACCTGGGCTGAAGGCAGACACTTAACTGACTGAGGCATCCAGGTGCCCCAAGAGCAAATTTTTGTGTTAATACTTCTTTTTGCATCTTGTGTTAAGGTTTGGAGTCCTCCACAGCTGTGGTCTCCTTGGTAGGGTTCAGGGAAGGACCCATCATCTCCCGTTTGTCCCCCAATACCCAGACTCTCCCTATTCTTCCTGCTTCCTGCCTATTGTCTTCAGGAATTGTTTGAGGATTGGAGGATATCATGGGGATTTGGAAAAAAAAAAGTGTTCAAGGAAGACCAGTAGAAAACAAGATGTTTTCAGCCGCTTGGAGAGAGGGTAGTAAGTTAAAGAAGCAAAATTCAAGCTGGAAACTGCTGTTTTTTTCTGGTTTTCTCCTCCTAGAGCCTAAGCTCCTTTCTCTCATCCTGCAAATACATAGGCCCTTTGTACCAAAGAAAAAAACTCCAGCTGAGGGCACCATTTCTTTTAAATTGTGATTCACAGTATTCAGTTTACTGCCAACCTTTATTTCCCCAAATGTGCATTAGAATCCTGAAGGTACCAGCCCCTGGCCCAGGTATTGTGGGGATACAAAAAGGAATGAGACCATTTCTAGACTTTGGAGCCCTAAACACACCTGAGTTTGCGTCCCCTGTGCTCACAGTTCCCAGCTGTGAGCCCTTGAATATGCTACTTGATATTTCTAATGATAATAGATTCCATATATTGAGCCCATGCTCTTATTTTGTGGTTTTGGGGCCTCAATAGATGATGTGTATTTGGGTGTGTGGCCAGATAGGTGGTGCTGGGAAGAAAGAACACGTTTTCTAGGGGACTCTTAAAGCATGAAAATGGAAACTGTCATGGCCGCATGTGTATCTTTAGTGATTTTTTTTTAATGCTTCATATTTTCAAGTATTTCTAGAGGAATTAGAAAAGGTCAAATCCTTGCTTTGGAGAGAAAGAACAAAATTCACACTGTGAATTTTTCCAAATTAAATGGAAAGTCACCTTCACAGAGAAGGGTGACTCTTTGCTTGCTGTCTCTACTGACTCACACCCTAATGCTAGTCGAGGACAGAGACTGTGTGGCAGGACTTCTAAAGGGTATTAAGTGTCCTTATAGAAAAGACGAGACAGGAGCAGCAGGAAGCCTGGATCTGAGACTTCCCAGCCAGTCTCTATGGCTTCCTGGTTACCCTCTCCCAGCCTATGCCCCCAAGACATTATTCGATGGGAAGGTGAGCACATTCTGGCTGCTAGTCTGGTTCCAGTTGAATCAGTAGCACTATAAAGAAGTAAGAAAACTCTAACCAAATGAATGAATCTTTCTGCCACATATCCTGAGCAGACACATCTTAAATGCGGATGGCAACAGGAGAGCGCTTGCAAACCACAGAGGTGTTAAACACGGCCATGCTGCAGAAAGCGTGCAATCTGAATTCACAAAACTTACTTTCATTTTTTCAAGTGCAGTTTCTATTTAAGAGACTCAACTGTAAAATATGGAAGAAGTCACGTATTAATCAGTTCCATATTTTTTTTCAAGTAAAACAAAGTAGATGAATGCCAAGTTAAGAGTCAATCCGACAGGATAGCTGGAGAAACAGTGAGGAAAAGAAGAGAAAAAGGTAAGAGGTAAGTTGTCACTTAAACCGAAATGAGCCAGTGTTAGACCAGCAAAAAAAAAAAAAAAAAGGACCCAAGCAGTACATGCACAGCAATAGCCCTCCCCCTTCAAGAAACTCTCACACACTCTTTTGCCATAGAGGAAGATAAATGTTACAATGTCTCCCTAACTAACCAATCAGCAGTGCGCAGGCCTCAAACCAGGAAGCCCTTTAGAGTGTAGTATTTTAAATTGTGCAAGCAAGACTTCTGGCTCTCAGCTAGTTTTTGTTCCCTGTGCTTGTAGGACACAAAAGCAGATGTAAAGTCCCTCATGGCGAAGTTTAACACAGCGGGCAACCCCACAGAAGAGGTCTCTGTCAACAGCCGCCCCTTCAAAGTCTCTGGGCAAAACTCGCCTTCAGGAGTACAAGCTAAAAAGAATCTATTCAACAACCAAGGAAGTGCCAGCCCTCCTGCAGGACCTAGCAACGTACCTAAGTTTGGGTCCCCAAAGCCACCTTTGGCGGTGAAACCTTCATCTGAGGACAAGCCTGACAAGGAGCCCAAGCCGCCGTTTCTAAAGCCCACAGGCGTGGGCCAGAGATTTGGACCGCAGGCAAGCTCGGCCACCAGAGACCCTGAGCCGAAAGTGGGGTTTCCGAAACCTATAGGCCCCAAGCCTGTCACCGTGCCCAAGGAAGATTCCAAACCTGTGTTTCCCTGGCCCCCTGCGAATAAGCCGGCGCCTCACAATGTAAACCAAGACCATGACTTAAAGCCACCAGGCCCCAAGCCAGGGTCTCATCCTCCAACCTCGGAAACTGAGCAGAAGCAAGCGTTCCCCAAGTTGGCTGGGGTGAAAGGCAAGTTTGCGTCAGCCTCACAAGACCATGACCCAAAGCCCCCCTTCCCCAAGCCTGCCTTTGCCCAGAAGCCATCCCTAAGTACCGACGACACCCATGAAGATGAGAGCCCCACCAAGACTGCGCCTCTACAGAGAGGACCGCTGCACCCCCTGGGAGCCAAGGCCAAAGCAACCCCTTTTAAACCAGCAAGGGAAGACCAGGAAATTAAAGACCATGGAGGCGAGGCATCCAGTTCACCCTTCTCTGGTGTGGTTCTGAAACCTGCTGCCAATAGAGGAAGCCCAGGCTTCGCCAAAAATACTGAAGAGAAAAAAGAAGATAGGAAGATAGATGCTGCTAAGAACATCTTCCTGAGCAAAATGAATCAGGAAGAGCCGGCCTCTGGGGCTCCTCCTGCCAAGTTCCCTAAGACGCCCTCTAAGTTGACAGTGGCGGGGTCATGGGGCCAAAGTCAAGAGAAGGAAAAGGGAGACAAGAACTCCGCCCCCCCCAAGCAGAAGCCCCTGCCTCCCTTGTTTGCCTTGGGCCCACCGCCACCCAAACCCAGCAGGCCTCCCAACGTTGACCTGACGAAATTCCGAAAAGCCGCTTCTGGAAACAGTGAGTTCTTTTCTCGTTGGCTGTTTAGCAAGTTTTGCTCTACAGCAAAAGGGTGTTTGACCCTCTGGGGAAAAAGAAAAAAAAAAATTATACCAAAGAATGATTCTATCCTTGGTACTCCTGTGCAGGGGATGACTTTTCCTTGGCATTATTTTTCCTTTGGTGTGAGAGGTCTGAGGTAAAAATCCTTAGTTCTGTGAGAAGATGCCTCAGGGGCTGCCTTCAAGAGGTGGAGGAAAATCTATCTATTTGCTTGATAAGTGGTTTTGCTTTCAGTTACATCCTTAGCTGGGTTTCATTTCTGTTGAATGAAACTGAGGTGTGCTACCCTTACTACCACAAAGGAGTGAAACAGAAAGGTGAATAAACCTCTTAGTCGAGGGTTCTCAAACTGGGTCAATTTGGATACCTGGGGACATTTGGCTGTGTCTGGAGGCAGTTTTGATTGTCACGACTGGAGGGTGCTGCTGGTCTGTGGCAGGCAGAGGCCAATGATGCTGCTCACCATCCTGCCTTGCCTAGAGCCGCCCCTCACAACAAATGTCAACAGCACAGAGGTTGAGAACCCCCTTCCAAGTGATTTTAAATGTTCAGAAAAGTCATCCTGTGTTTCCTAAGCCCAATGTTCAAATAAGGGATGAACAGGGCTCACAAAATGCCACTTTCTGTTTTATACGTTAGTGGTTTTCTATTTCTCAGTATAAAGCTTTCTGAACGTTGCTAATTCCTAAAGTGGTACAGAACCAGGACAGTAAGCCAGACTAAAGGGACACATTAGTGTCCTTTTGGGAAAATAGTTTAGCTTTCTACCAAAGATGTTACAATCGTATGGCACATGCTAAAATTTGATCCCGAATGACTTGGTAAAGATTTGTAACCCTGCACAGAGATAACAGAAGCTCACTTATGCCTGAAATGATTAATATTTCAGGCCAGATACGCACGATTATTATTTCCTGTTGGGGAAGATGGAGAAAGTATGCTTATGCATAGTGGAATAGTGACCACACCACTATTAGACTTTTTTTCCTTATAAAACTGTGGTCTCATTAAAGCAGTTCTAGGTATACAGGTTGTTTTTCTTTTCTAGCTCTGCAGAAGCGTCTTGTAATCTATCATTTGCAATGCCTCCTCATGCAGTAGATCAGTATTCTTGCTCTTGATCAGCCAGTTAGTGATCAACCCCCCCATGGATCTATCATGTAGAAAGCACATTGGAAGTGGTGCCACAATCATCCCTTTTCTAAAATGATTCAGCCTTAGTTACATTTGTGTCCTCCTCATCTGTCACCTTCTTATGTTAACGCTGGTCCATAACTCAGAAGTGTTATTTTTATGAAGACTTCTGAAAGATCCCTTCCTTTAGTTCTTCTGTGCCTCGAATAAAACATTAGCTAGCATAACCTCCATCTTATTATGGCTCTAACTTCAGACCAGGGCTCCCAGGTTTGGGTGGCTGGGCAATCAGTTGCCTGGTGTTATGGTGTTGAAATGCTAATGAAGCCCTCTGGCTCTAGGGTCCTGGCAAGGTCAGTATTGAGCTGACTTTCAGTGCAATAGAGCTCTGAGGGACCCAGACATAACCACCTCAGAGGCAGAGTGGATCCTTGTACTCTTTCTCCCTTTTTGCCCCATCCTGACCTGCCACCCCACTGCTCCACTGTCCCAGGATACAATGTAGACTCTAAATCCTCTTATAATGTACCGCACCTCTAACTCAGATCCTTTTGGGTGCATTATGCTCCAAAAGGGACCTTATTGCCTCTTCATCCACCTCTTTCACAAATCAAAGCTCAATCCTTCTTAATTTGAACTGACCTCAGATTAGTGTCAGGGTAAAGCAAATCTGATTCCTAGCTTTAAATTATGAATAACATCCCTTTATATTTTTTTAAATAACGCTCCTTTAAAGCATTCACATTTTTGTATTTAAATTTTTTAACTTCTTTTCTAAGATTTTGTTTGTTTGCTTATTTATTTATTTATTTATTTATTTATTTATGAGAGAGAGAGAGAGAGAGAGAGAGAGAGAGGAGAGGGGGGGAAGGGAATAGGGAGAGGGAGAGAGAGGATCTCCAGTACACTCCCTGCTGAGCACTGAACCTCATGCAGGGCTCCATCTCGTTACCCTGAGATCATGACGGGAGCCAAAACCAAGAGATAGATGCTTAACCAACTGAACCACCCAAGCATCCCTATACATATTTTAAACTTGTTTTTTAAATAGAAATTACATCTGGCTCCAAAACAAAAACAAATGCAAGTATAAAATGATATACAGTCCTTGTCTGTCATTTTCTGGGTCTTCCCAGCCTCTGCCCCACAGAAACCACTTTTCTTAATGTCTATGTCCATCCAGTTTCCTTAGGTTTATGTAAGCAAATATAAATATAGATACTAGTTCCCCCAGCTTTATACTCAAGAAGTAAAATATTATATGCAATGTTTTGATCCTTGCTTTAAAAAATAATAAAAATCCTGTATATCTTCTCATATTTTAATAAGACGTAACTGAATATCCTTTAGAATTTCATGTTATTCTAGTAAATGAATGACCCACCGAATTGATTGAACATTGTGTATTGTTTCCAAAACTTTCTATTCCAAACAATACTATAAAAAATAGCCTTGAATATGTGTCATATGTGTTACTTTCTGGACACTGAGAATTTCTTAAAAGACAGGTCTGCTGACTCCTCATCCTACCACTGCTACTTTTCTGAAACCATACTAAGTAATTTAGTATCCCACTTAGGAAGATTAAAAATATACCGGATTTAGAAAGTATATAATGTTCGAATTAACCAACACTTCATCTAATAACTCTGCAGGTTTTCAAAACTCTAACACTATTTTCTGAGCCTTTTGCCTGATTCTTTCCTTTCCAGGTTTACATCCAATTCCTTAAACCTCTTCTCCATACCTACCCTCCCTCCTTTATCATCTTTGTCCAATTTAGTAGCCATTAAAATACTTCTTATTTATTGATGACTTGTTGCATACCAGATACATATTACCCACCTCACTCCTCCCAAGAACTCAGTGAAATAAGAATCGATGAGGAAACTAAAGCTCAGAGAGGTTGAGTAACTTGCCGAAGGCTGTGACATGACAAAGTAGGGACAGAATTGATCCTTACCTCTCTCTGATTCTAGGGCCCATGTCCCCCTTGCCACCTTCCCTGCTAGGCTCCCTCTCTTGAAACCTAGGATATCATGAGATAATAAATCAAGCACAAGGGAAACTCAAAGAATCCTCATCCTTCTGTGTGTGTGTGTGTGTGTGTGTGTGTGTGTGTTCTTTGGTTCAAACATCTGTTTCTTGTTTGTGCCTTTGTTTTTTACTACAAATACCCCTATAAGCTACATGGAGACAGACACCAGTCTGCTTAACATTGTTTATTTGGAGCATAGAAATAATATATTCTTGTTAGTTTCTCAGGCTTATCATCCCCCCCCCAAAAAAAAACGTCTATTTAATCAGAATTTGGTATTAATATCCTCCATAGCTTAGCAATTACTTTAACAAATTGGATGACTCCTGTCAATAGACTTGCACTCAATTGAATAGAGCTTCCATGTGGAATGAATATTGCACACAGGGTCTATAGTGTAGATCTGTTCGGCTTACTTACTGGTAAATCTTAAGCTTGAACATAACATGTTGCCTTTCTAAATGTGAAGCTAATAACTTCCCCCACCCTGAACCATTTGGGGCTACAAAAGCCTAAACTTTCGAAAAAAATTCCAAAACATCAGAATGTTCTCTGAACTAACCTTTTCTCTGCATACTTTTGGTTCCTGGGCCAGTAGTGAGAAGAATTCATCCTAGGCATCAGTGTGTGCCCAACCAGCAAAGTTTCAGTTGTTAAGGTCCCTTGGCTTGGCTGTTGGTTTGCATGTGGAGTTCGTAATAAATCTGCTTGGAAATATTCCATCCAACCATTTTTCTGGTCTTGCTCTTTACTGGAGAGAAACTAGGACCCATCTTTCCATATGTTAGCTTTAAGAATGATCAGTTAAGCATCCTGACACCTAAAGGTGTAAGGCCAGTATCCCAATGGGTGTTATCAAAGGGCTGCTGGCATGACTGACCCCCCAACTTATCTGCTCATGCATCACTTCAACTAATCCAGCCAACAGCAATTTGGAGCCTAAAGGTGTTGGGGCTATTTTTAGCAGCAAGGATAGGAGGTGGACAAGATTTTCCTTCATATACCCTTAACTCTTTTCTCTTTCTCTTCACTCTCTTTTTACATGTACTCTCTAAAATTGCCTTATTAGATATAATCTATCATGTTATATCAATGTGTGTTGCTCCTGGCCATTGCAAGGGAGAGGGACTCTACACTCTAACACATTCAGAAATTGGGGGCCGGGGGTAAGTAGATTCTTACAAGGTTTCCACAAGTGTGGAATACACTAGTGTGCACTGGGGAATCTAAGAACCAGGTACCCTAAAAAACAAATTGCGGGACACGTTTTCTGAAGCATCTCACAGATTGGGCCATTTCAGAACATGGAAGAGCTAGAGCGAAAGCTCTGTGATACACGAACTGGAATGGAAGTTTCTCAAAAGCATGGGTCGGCTTCAGAGGGTGACATTGTTCTGCTCTCTCACTGTCCAGGTACCTGATGTACGCCTTGTGGCTGGTGTCCACTCTTACTTTCAGCTCTGGCCTGAGCCCACTCCCCTTTGTTTGCCTTCCTCGGTCCCCAGGAAAGCAGTTTTTCATGAGACCTGTAGGACTTTCTTCTGCTCTAGGTGGCAACTTCTGAGAAACCACTGACTGTTAATTGGGCATCTTACCTGGGTTTAACCCTATAACAGAAATGCCTCTGAAAGAGCATCCCCTCTCTTAACCTCACAAGCCCCAGGGCAAATCTTAAGAGCTTCCTACTGTTCATCTTTCTCCCCAAGTTCTCAACCTCTGCTCTTCTAAGATAAACCAGCTCCTCAGTCTAAACCCTGTTCTCTTGAACAACCTGTTCCCCACTGTA